TAAGGGAGAAAAGGGATTTTTTCTGCGAGGTACCAAGACTTTTGGATCACCCTTTATGTTATGTACTATACAAACTTATTACTGGAACATGTTTAATCGAAGTCGATAGTATGATATTCTCATAAAAATAAGATTAACGTAGATATGGACAATCTGGTCCTGACAGGACTGATAACAGAACCCGAAATCATTGGTCCCGCTCATGCCTAGACAAACGCCACTATAGTAATCTGATTACCGTGTTGAACAGTCGCTTCTTCTTGATAATGATTGACTACGACCATAAACGAAAGGGTCGCGTTCACTTGGCCGACAATCATTTGGCCGACTCATCACTTAACCGACACCACTTCGCCGACAAATTGTTTGGCCGACATGTACACTTCGCCGACAACTCATTTGGCCGACAAATATTTGAGATCAAAAAAATTGAAATTTCTTGAAAATATTGCGTGGATTTTTCCCACTCATTCACCTATAAATAGTGAACATTTTTCAAAATAAAATCAGACGACGATTTTTTATCAGTTAAAACAAGTCTCCCGCTAACAAACTGTTTCCCGTGAGATAAGTTTGGTTTTCTTCGGGGCATTGCCCATACTCTTTCATTGTAAATAAATGTGACTTTTGATAAAAAGATTTTCTGACGCAATATTTTCAAGAAATTTCATTTTATTTTACTTCAAATATTTGTCGGCCAAATGAGTTGTCGGTGAAGTGTACATGTCGGCCAAACAATTTGTCGGCGAAATGGTGTCGGTCAAGTGATGTGTCGGCCAAGTGATTGTCGGCCAAATGACTCGGACCCAAACGAAAAATCTCGACATGTTATTTCTGTTTCAAGATATAACTATTTTCGATTAGTAACTTAAGGTCAACCAAAAATTCTTATAAAATCAAGAAAAACATAAAACTAGAGAGATATTTCTCAAACCTTTCGTTTGCAATATTTTTTCAACTATCTTGAAAATCGCACGATCGAATGATATTTTATTCTTTTGATCAATTAAGCTATATTTGATATAATCATTTAGATTAAACTAGTGAATATAATTATCGATAATATTTGAATAAATTCCAAGTAAATGCTCAAGTAAAATTTGTTTAGCATCAGCTGGTGAGTAAATCAAATGCATAACTTCCGAAGGTCACAGATTTAAAATAATTGTTTTTAAATCTTGTAAAGATAATTGATAATAATTGTTGTTTTATATGATTTGATGGTATGCTTAATGTTTGTTTAAATGATAAATCAATTAACGAAAATAGTTGTTTATAATTTTCAGATATACTAATTAAATGAGACAAGAATATTTTCTTTTAATAAATCTAATGACCATATAAAAGGTTTTAAATTTTTTGAATCAAGGTCAATTTTAATATCAGATAAAGGAGAATATTCTTAAAAATATTTTTCAACAGGTAAGGATATATTTTATTCTCATATACCTTTAATTCATTGAATTTCAATTGGATTTTGTGGGAGACTTAATGTTGAATTTATTGAAGGCATATGTGATATCTAATTCTATGGATAATATATCTTCTGTATCATTCGAAAATAAATTTTCTTTATCTTCTCCAGATTCAATAGCATATTTAATCTAAAACGAAGAAACAAATAAAAATAAAAGAATCTTTAAAAAAAATGCTTACCTGATTTCTAAAATCTCCTCCTTGAATAAAATTAGTTTGTAAATCTTGATTGTTTGTATCTAAATCATGTTTATATTGTTGATCGTATTGATTCGTTACATTAAATTTAATAAAATTTTTATTATTATCATCTAATGTCCATTGATGTTGTTTATTTTGAATATTTTGAATTGAAAAACATATATTATATTGTTGCTGATCATCAGGGTGTGGGGTGTAAGCTAGATTAGAGGATATGCAGATCCTACACCCACCCCCACCCCCACCCCCACCCCACACACACATCCACACCCAACACCACACCCGGTAGTTTCTTTTACGACCATCCGTTAAAATTATCCAGGTTCTCACTTAGAAACGTGTGTGTCTTTGCCGTTCCGAACATCTGTTAAAAATTTTTGCGAACATCTGTTTCTTTTCCGATGATCGTTCCGGACACCCGTATTTTTCTAATCACGAACATCCGGTCTTTTTATTTTAATAGTGATCATTTTTTGAAAAAACGGATGTTTGGAACGGACTTCAACATTCGATGTTCGGAATGAAAAGTAGCGGCGAAACGTCCAAATGCCCACCCACCCGCACCCCACCCTCACATCCACGCCCACATATCCACACCTCACCCAACTCCGAAATATTCCAAATAAACTAAATAATATTGGCTTTTGTACACCTTGCCTTTTCTTCATCTACCTCACCAATTCAAAAAAATGTTCATAGATGTCATGTCGATTAGAGAAGGCTTCGTTTATTCTAGAACAATGACAGTTTGGATTTCACGAATTTACGTTAATCTGACATTCTAGCATTAAGAAAGACTGCTATTTTTCTGGTTGAGTTCAAAATGTATTTTCAACATTGATGTTGGTGAAATAGATTGCAACAGGTGTTGTCGGATTTTGTCGAATCCGACGGGTTTCCAACTGCCGGAATACGACGAATCCTGCTATCGGAATCCTAGAGTATCCGAGTGTCGGAAACCATAGGATATCATGGGATTCCGACTGTCGACATCCCGTCGGATCTTGTCGGATATTTATGGGTCCGATGGGATCTTATTGGATAGGTTCGACCTGGAATGATACGGCAACTTACGCAGAAACTCCATGGACGGTCTTATCCGTTAACGATGAAAATATTCTTCAACAATACGATTAATCAACAACAAATATGTTTGACAGCGATGTTTCATCGATTCATTTAATTATACACATTCAATATTTGTGGTCGAGTCGAAGGCAAATAAAACTTGTTGAAAATAATATTGTATAGCATTGAAAGAGAAGAATGACTCTAAGAACTTATTTTATCTGTAGTGCATTCTTAAAGATAAACATAATGCTGTGCATGATTCGTTGATTCGTTTGGCACAAGAAGTTTTGATAGGCAACAAATAAATGCACATATGTGGATCTGATAAGACTGCAAGTGATTGACAGCTAAGAGAATAGAAAAACATAGATTGTGTTGTGTCCGGTCAATATTCATTTTTGTGTTGTAATGAAGTGTGCAATTCAAAGCCATTGATAAGACTAAAGTAAATGCTGAAATTTCTGTCAAATGCCTGGATAAAACTACAGATCCACACAATATTGGTGCTTCTAGATTGATCAATCATCAGCTCTTCGTACTGCGCCTTAAGAGGCTTTCTAATTGCAAAGATAAATTATCGAATTTTTACTCAAAGTACATATGTCAAATAGCATCATTAACACGATCGCGACAGAAGTGGCATCATCGTTGATAGCTATCAAGCCATCCAAATTAACTCGCTGTACTATGTGGACCAAGCTTATTCTAGCTGTTGTTCCATCGATTGTATTTGGGGTGTTCACTATTGTCTTCACACTTCAGCAAAATGCATTCGCCACAGTGGCTCGCGAGCAAGATCAGTATCAAGCATCAGAGCAACGCAAACAATCTATTTTCGACAACTGCATTGATGTTATTTCGGAAATCTTACTAAGCCCAAACTTTAATCGAAGCAATGCTGAACATCTTCAACCAATTCAAGTGAAAGTGACTACCGCTCTTCGCCGTCTTGACTCTCCTCATAAACGAGATGTGATCTTTTATTTATATGCAAACAAACTTATTCGAGCTGATCTTCCACCTGAATTTCGGCTTGATTTGCGTGGTGCTGATCTCAGCGGAGTAGAATTTATAAAATCGAGTAAAACCCAGTGTATTCTTAATGATGTATTTTTGCCGGGAATACTTGCCTCGAACATTATTTTCTCAGGATGTGAACTTGATCGGTCGAACTTCGAAGGCAGTGTAATGGCTCGAAGTCAATTTCATAATTGTTCTCTAGGATTCACTAAGTTTCTAGATGTCAATTTTGAACAAGCCACATTTCAAGGGAATATGTACTGGAGAACTAATTTTGCCGGTTCATCATTGGTAAGATCATGCTTCGGGCTTTCGGACATGCTATTCTTAGTAAATTTTACCAATACAGACCTTTTTGGCACCAAAATTACAAACGACCAACTGTTTGGTATGCATTCGTCAGAGTTTAACAATGTGATACTTAACGTTCGCTTGCCAAATGGATCTTTGATGATTCATTCATCACAATTAGTCAAGGATGGTGGAGCTGAAAAAGAGGTAAAAGTGAAGAGAAGAAAAAACGCTTATTCATTAATGTATCATCACAACACTGTCTGAGATAACACTTCTATTGTTTTCTAGTGTATTCGAACGGTGAATCAGCCTACACC